CAGGGATAATGTTAGCACCCAAAATTGAACACCTCACCCCCTAAAACCGTAAATCACCCATATGGATGCTTCATTCAATCAATTGAACATTACTATAAGACTCTACATACCCTAAAACCCTTTCCTATCAAGTTTCACCTCTATACTCCTTCATTTGCCCCCATGATCAAAGCAAGATTCCTTTTCAGTTCTTCTCATTGATTAAGAGCCTAGTGCATCAAACAAAGTTGATGGTATAACCATCTATTGTTCTCTGTCATGGAGGTTACACCTACTTTGTAGTTTATTCGTGTGTGGCAAGTGGCAACATGTCTAAAAGCTCCAAATCCTTTCACTCACCACACTTTACCTTATCCCAACAGTGTCCTAGCCAAGGGCATTGGGATTGTTTAAGACTATTACCCTATGGCTTCTCATCACCAAGGCACAAGACAAATTAACCACATGTTTATCGAGGTTTTCATGCATGAACTGCCAAACACCTGAAAGACACTCTATGTCTCTTAAGAAAGGCAAAAATGCTATATTGAGAATAGGACTGTTGTCAAGTTTTTTTTAATAACTTTATTCAAAATGAAATAGTTTTCTAAATGTTTTCGTCGTAGCAGACAAGCCCTAACTTCATAGGACGCTTAATACCCATTAGAAGGAATATTCTACCTAGAGTAAATACATTTTGTAAGTCTTGAGAGGTTTCTTCACTCCATATCCTTCTGTTTGATGTGGGCCTCTTTAGATCGATTTGACTCTGCCAACGAGTCTATGACCCTTGAAAASCTCACCCCACCAAATTTCATCTAAAAACTCTATCTCTARCCTTAAAACCAAACAAGATTCTATTTCACAAATTGTAATTTGCTCGCACAACTTTCTTGTGATATAGCATCAATGCAGTAGCCTTTCTTGAGAAAAATTTTGGCCACCCAAACGTTGCTAACCCTTGGATCAGAATACCTCCAATATCACCTCATTTAGACCATTTTACCCTTAAAAACCCTCAAAAAAACCAAAATACCCCTCACCATTCTTCCTACCCAGAATGCCCCTAAATTCACCTCAGTGGGACTATTTCAGCCCTGAAAACTCTCAAAATATCCAAAATACCCTCCATCCTCCCTCTCCCCAAAATACCTATATTCTCACCACCTATGTACACTTCCGCCCCCCCCCCCAAAAAAAAAAAAAAAACATCAAAAACACCTAAACTACCCCTAATTTCCCTTTACCCCAGAATGCCTTTGCTTATCAAATTTTTGGACCCTCCTACCCTTAAACATTCTCACAATACCCAAACTACTCCCGCCCTAAGCCTATAAATAGGGGTGGGAGGGGTGACCAGAGGAAGAAAAAGAACTGGAGAATTGAACCATCCTTCATCTCAAGACACATTATTATTGCCACCTCAGCTAGATTTATTTCATCCCTTGAGAAATTTTATTCTCTTGATTTTTTTTATTTACTTAATTCCTTTCCCCATTCCTCTTTTCGTTGGAAAAGGGAGGAAGAGAATTCAAAGAAGGGAAAAACCGTCATCGCTGGTCTAAAACCAGCTTACAAGGTTTTTAAAATCGACTCGGAAAATAAATCGGTCAGGGGTCTGGTTTCTGGGTTAAACGGTCCAATTGTTCGAACCAAATGGTCGACCCATTCTGACAAAAAAATAAAAATTTTAAAAACAAAAAACGATCAAAATCGTTGAACAGTTCAAACGGTTCAACTGCCCTAATCAATGGTTTGCTGACCAAATTAACATTTTTTGGCAAAAATCAGATTTAAAAAAAAAAAAAAACAGAACCAGCCACCGGTTCCCTGTTTTTCCGGTCCGGTCCACTTTTGAAAACCATGCCAGCTTGAACGAGGATCTACAATTCTACATCATCACCCCTTTGTCGTTCGGTGCTACCAACATTAATCCCCTATTTCCCCTCTCTTCTTTTCACATTCGAAGAAGAGTGGCAAGATTTTGGAGTGACAAGACGCCTGTTTATACCGACTTTTCGTCTCCTACCTTACACCAACTAATAGTAAAGGCATCTAGGTTTCAATCGAATTAAAACTTCCAAGAGTTCTTCCTTCAGTCCTATGCGTAGGTAAGTCTTGTCTTGCTATTAGCTCTCTTTTTTTGTCGTTCTATTTGGACTAAGATAATGAAGAAGGGTTAGGGTTTCATCCATAGCTCGATACCTTCCCATTCACGAGTACAAGCTGGCCCTAAGAGAGGTCAAAAGGAGGGACCTCCAGTAACACCCCCCTCATTGGGTTCCAGTCAAAGGAAGGACACATTAAGCAAATAGACGAAACCCAAACCCATCAAAATGGTTGCATCTATGTTTAAACCTAAGGTTGATCATATTCTGCGCTTCTTCACCTGGAGTAATAGGTCGTCCCGTGAGAGGTGTGAGGGAGGAACCCGGTACCACCACCTTCATTGGGTTCCAACGTGAAGTGTGTTTGAATGCATGGAGTGATGAGATCCTAGCTTATCTACTCGATGACCGTAAACTTTCTATCCTTTATTTCTTTACTTATTTATTTATTTATTTCTATGTTCTAACTAATCTTGGGAATTACTTGAGGAGGAAATCATCATTGCATTTTTTAGGCCCTGTTTGCTTTTCGGTAAGTTATTTCTCCGGGTAAATACAATTTATATAGGTAAGTTTTTCCTGGGAAACACTTACCCGAGTAAGTGCATTTATCCATGTTCTTTAATTTCTCATGTAAATAAGGTAATGACCATTTTAGTCATAAAAATTCATTATTAAAAGAGGCATTTTTGTCCCATTCAAGTGTTGACAACTTTCCCTTAGGTGGGAAAGTTATCTATCCACCTAAGAGATGGGTAAGTGATACCCAGGAAAATAAATTTTCCCTGGTCCCCACATAAATCTGAAAAAAGAACATAAGATTCTTGGTCAATGAGATTCCATTGACCAACTTTCCCCCTCTCAAAATCCAAAAAAAGAACACCCCCTTAATATTTGCTTAATTGACTGTAAGGACTCTTCTAGAAGCTTAACCCCCTTATTAATGACAGCCACAAAATTCAATTTCCGAACTATTTTCTTGTGATATTTTTGAGAAAAAAAAAGGAAAGAGGAAGCATCATTATTATCATTTAGGTTTGTTGCAACATTTGATTATAAAATAATTCCCAACAACAGGAGTATGCTATTGAATAAATTAGCATATTCTTGCACATTTTAGAAGTCTACCACACTTTGGGGACTGGCATTCACATCGACAGGGGAGAGGGTGCCTAACACCTTCCCTTTTTCCTCACCAGCTTACCCGGATAGCCCTCTTATCCTAATGTTGGAGTCACTATAAATCAAAAATTATTTTTTGTTCGAACACTGGGAGTCCCTCACTCCTAGACTCCCTTTTCTCTACAATGATAGGTGGTGATTCCAACAAATCTACCATGAAGTGGGTCACTTTCCGGTGCCCACAAATGAGTCTTGGGATTTTATAACACATACAAGTAACAGGGTAATGATTATGAAAGCATGTGACATCAAAACTTAGAGTCTGTTTGGTTCATTGGAATTGGGATATGATCATTCACTCCCCCTAGTGGAATGGCATTCCCCCATGGCATTCCCCCATTTGAGGGAATGGTCATTCACTCCCCATCCCCCAGAGTGAAATCCCATTATAGTTGATTCCAATTCCCATTCTGATTTCTGTCTGAGTCAAACAGACCAATAGCCCATTTTAATTCTAATTCAGAGGGATTTTGATTATGATTCCAATTCCGATTTCAACTGTGAACCAAATAGACCCTTAAAAGTTGGCTTTGCTCTAGGACCTAATGTTTTAAAAACCGAGCTGGAAGCCGAACCGCTTTGATAACCGGTTTCCAGGTCAGCAGTTCAACTATCCAGATTAAATGGTTCGACCTATGTTGTCATAAATATAATAAAAATATAAAATATATAATATTGAAACATGCCATAAAACATTTATAAATAATAAAATTACCATAAAATTAAATAATACAAAAAATGAAAAAAAAAAGTCTCAACCAAGCTTCCTCCGAATCACTAAATCCCTTTTTGGTGGAAATACAAAAGGATGGATAGATTGGGTTTCATGGACACAGCGGGTGATTAACATTGTTAGTTCCCTCCATTTTCATTGAACCAGGCATTCAGTTGAGGTTCCAAATTCCAATTGCTGGTCAATGAATATGTGCTTGTCTTCTTATTTTCCTTCACCCTTTAGTCCTATTAATTCCAAACCCAGCTATAACTAGTAGAAAGATTCTTGTCATTTTAACCTAGAAAGATTCTTTCCATTCCAAGCCCAGCTGTAACTAAGAGGATGAAAAAAAAAAACACAAATTCATTTTGGGTTACTGACCTAGGTCCCTTGTACCCATCCCTATTTAGTATTATATAAAACACTGAGGAACTTGGTCACCGCCACAATTTCAGGGTTGCTAGCAATAGAAAAAACGACCCAGGAACTTGAAGGCCGCCACTGCAAGCCCAAGCACCGAGTCATTGCTACATATGGCGGTCGTCGTGCAAGGTTTAGACTCCTCCCGGCATCGATCTATTCGGCCAAGCACTGTAAATGGTAGTCTCCTTGACTCCCTCTGCCCTCCATCGCCATTGAGTCTCAGAGGTGAAACTTGAGCAAGAAAGGGGAAACCTCAATGGTAAAACCTTAAAAGGCTAAAATGTAAAAAAAATAATAATAATAAAAAATAAAAAATAAAAATAAGTTATATAATGAAATTTGGACTGGAATGTCATTTTCCAACCTGGGTCAGTGGTTTTTCAACCTTTTCAATGTTTTTTTTTCACCAAAAAGCATAACCGGACCCAGAACAATGACCGGTTCCCAGGTCGAACGGTCCGACCATCCAGTCGGGTCCGATTTTCAAAACAATGTTAGGACCAAGACCTTTCCTCGTTTATAGAGAGCGCTGTAGAGGTCAGTCAGCATGTCACCGCAACTCCATTAAAAAAAATACTGATTATTACCAAATAATACGCATTCATTATTTCAGTAAACTGATTTATCGAATTCTTGAGCATGACAGACACTACAACTAATTTTGATATATACTAAAAATCCCGAAGAAAAAATAATAAATTACATAATTTACAACTCCATCTTCCACCGATCAAATGGCCCACCAACTAGGGGTTATTTCAGCTCTTTCTCCTCATCGATTAGACACTGTTCACACTATGATTTTCAGATTCAAATGTTTTCTCCCAAGAATAGATAGTAATGCCTGAACATGTGGTTGTCATACTTGTGCCGGCCTCATCCCTCTGATCGCTGCAGCAAAAATCTGAAAATTCATGCAATTAGACACAAGTTTGAACTCATGAAGTAGCGAGTATTTCGAATAGAGAAATGATCTGAAACATAACTTGCCACATGTTCCCAATCCAAAGTAAAAATAATGCTGATATGTAGGGGCGTCAATGGACCGGATTTGGGTTGGACCCGTCCAAATCGCATTTAAATTGGATGGGTTGGACGGTCCATGCTTTGGCATCGGGTTGGACTGATCCGTATTATTTTGTTCCTAAGTAATTGGTGGACCAAAATGGACGAAGTTGATTAGTCCGCATATCACCTGGGGACCGATTTTACTTCGACTCAAAGTCTCCAACCTAGGGTTTCTCCAAGGGAATTCTCGCCAACGGCTCTTTTTTTCTGACGGTTCTCTCACCGGCAAGTCTGTGACTATCTCTGTCAGTTTGCTTGAGCTGCATGAGAGAGAATATATTGTCTTCACTTCGGACTCCAACTCTCCAAGTCTCCAACCTAGGGTTTATCCAAGGGAACTCTTTCCAACGGCTTTTTTTCCGATGGTTCTCTCACCGGCGAGTCAGCAACTATCTCTGTTAGTTTGCTTGAGTTGCATGTGCAGAAAATGTATTGTCTTACTAGCGGCTATCTCTGACATTTTTCTCTCCATCTGTTTCTCTCTAACATTTTTATCTCCACCAGTTTTCTCTCTCCAACGGTCATCTCTCTTCTGTGAACTGCAATCAATCGTTGAAATAGGAAATATATCACCCCTCAGTTGGCTTCCTTGATGGTGCAGCTCATCTGTCTTGTAGTCTAGTTTGTTATTTGATCCATTTTTGAAGTGGTTGTCTAATTGTGTTTGTGCTAAGTCTAGTGATGTTTAATGTTGCTTTGTCTTAGGTAGTATCGGTCTGTTTTCTGTTTCGTTTTTTTTTTCTAGAAAATTCAAACTTAAGATGCCTGATTGTTAAGTAGTGGTTGTTCYGGCCAGTTGTTTGCTATTTCAGTTCCACCAATTACAAACATCTTTCACATCTTTTGCTTTTTGAACCAAATCATGAGCATCTCTGGTGAAAGACCTAGATTTATATACAAAAGTAACCTTGGGTCTGTTTGTTTTCTGTTGTTGTGTTGCTTTTTTTTAGTTGTATTTATCCTTTTTTACAATGAAGATATTGCTTACCCAAAAAAAAATGGATTGTTCAAGATTTTCATTTCAGGCACTGATTGGCAAGAAAAAGTAGGCAATACATCCATTTTTTGCAGTTGACAAACCAGAAATAGAGATACATTTTTATCTGAATCAGAGGGTTTTCTCTTTTAGTGAGAGATTGTAACAATAAAATTCACAGTTTTTCGTTTTAGGAAATTTATGGGCCATCTTGCCATTCCATTGTAGGATTGCATCTAAAAACATCTAGAGATGATTCTCAAAATATTGAAAGAAAAAGATGAAGGGGGCGTTCTATGTGAATTATTTTTCATGTGAATTCCAAAAACAAATGAGAACCATCTGGTTTGAAAATAGATTGGGTGTGCATGTGTTGTTTCCAAAATTGAAAGATGAAGGGGGTGTTCTATGTGAATTATTTTTCATGTGGATTATACTAGTCCAATCCAGTCCAGGTTGAATAGTCCAATAAGATAGTGGATTGGATTGGACCAGTCCAATAAGACTAGGTAAATGTAAGGATTGGCTGGATGTGTAGTGATGGAAGGTGGTGGTACTGTGTGGGTTCCTAAATTTTGCAAAATCTTCTTTGATTGGGAGCTGGGCTTTGTTTGTGAGGTTTTACAGGTCTTAAAAGATAGAGAAGTCGAGGAGGGGCAGCTAGATATGTGGAGCTAGAAGTGGAACACGAGTGGAGAGTTTTCAGTTATTGTTCAGTGGTCATTCTAGAATTGCAACAGTAATATACGTTTTAATTTACTGCTTTTTTTCAGATAACATGATTGATTAGTTTTAGTGAACTATCCATTGCATTCTTAGGAATTTTGCCTTGTTAATTGCTCTGTTTCTTTGAATGTGTCTTAAATGTTGTCATACTCTAGTTATTCTTAATTTCACTAGAGCAGAGAATTAAAAACTAAAATTCAGTTGTTTTCTAAATCCCATTTCTTATATTTTTATATAAGAAGAATTTATAGATGAATTACTAATCATATAAAAAAGGGCTACTAGTTGGTAAGATCCTTATTAAAGATCTTTTTAGACTATTAGAAAATTCTTAATAAAAATCTTTCTTTGTCCTCTGCCTCCAACACCCACCTCCTGTGCTATGATATTTTTACTCCAGAACCAAAAGGGATACCAAATAGAAGATGTGTGTTCCATTAAAGATAGCATGTTCTGTTCTGTCTAATTCATATTGTTGTCTTTGGATTTAATCGTTTCTGCAACACCCTCATAGTTCAAATGTTTCTGATTCCCAAAACCATTGATAGAAGTAGCACACATGAACCACTTACTACTCAGAGTCAGAGATGAGCATCTCACCCACCTAGTCCATCATCTGTCATGTGAGTCTGACAACAATAACATGGTTGGGTTGTGATGATATTAAAAATAACATGGTTGGGTTGCTGTCCTGTGACAGCAATATCTTTTGGGTTAACAAAGAAAAGATAAAATAAGGCAGAGCTTCTAGTCCAAACAGTGTTCTCAGATTTGGATCGCACAGAAAATCAGACCAGAATGCTGATGGAGTGATGGGTCATGGAGCTCATGGATTGGTTAACTAGTAACCAGGTCAAAATTTAAGGTTCCAGACATAGATCATGGGGGAGATTCTACTAACTTATTTGAACTGTGCAAGTTGGATTGAATCAAATGGTTATTAGATGTTTGTGTTGATTGTTTCTTGTAACTTTGTGGCTTAATTGGCTGATAGAGTAGTCAATGCAAAGTTCATTTTGAAATGGTAAAACATATTGTTTGAAGTTTGGTAGCTTGAGCATTTTTCATGTCCATAGCCGTTTCCACTGATTAATTAATTCTTTCACTTTCTATACATTTGTTTTACAGGCATTGCAGAACTCAGAGTGATGATGACGACAACTTTTTTGGGTAGTTGTTTCCTCCAAGTAAGCTGTGTTTGGAGACTTGGAGTGATGATGATGATTTGTTGCAACACAAATCTTAGGTAATAAATTGGATAAAGGGTCGGATGATCTTGACAGCAAAGATTCATGGTGATTATCAATTTAATATCTTGATTTTCTACTTAAAAAATCTCCAACTCTATGGTGTGACCGATTTACTGTGTTTTTTTTTTGTGTGAGTCCTCACTCCTCTCCCTATTAAAATCATGTTCCTGGTTTGGGGTGTTCATCATGAGTGTACCTGGCTAGTGGCTCCTCAAGAAGCCGGAAATAGAAAGCAGAATCTGTTTGGATTCAATTGATAAGTAATAACCTGGCATAAGAACAGTATGCAGTAGCTCTTGTGTATTCTTTGGTTAAGAACTTATCAAGATGGTTGGAATTTGGTTCATCTTTTGTTTGTTTTTTATTAAATTCTAAAAGATTATATTGACAAACTCTTAATATGGAATGAAGTGTTGCATTTCAATCTGGTTTGGACTGTAAATCTGTAATTTTTAAACAATATCCGTGTTTCATGTATAGAGGCTTCATTTATTTGGACTGGATTGGATCCGAATTGGATCCGGTTTGTATGGGGTTTGGACCGGTCCATTTGTAAATGGACCAATATTGGACTGGATCGGATTGGACCAGATCCAGTCCAACTGACAGGCCTACTGATACGTGCTAAATTCATTCTCATTATGTTGAGTTATCTCATACAAATACCTACACAGGTCGAACATTACCTATACAATAATGACAGAAGAGTACAAATTTGAAATAAATCACAGAGCTAAACACCTCCAATGCTAGAGTATAAAGCAGAAGTAATATATATTTTATTTTCTATTTTATAGGACGTGTAAAACCGGCCATGCTTCGGGAAGCAAAATGCCAGAGAATATCCATCAAAAAAGAAACAAGGGAGCAGAAAATGAGTGCCATACTTCTGTTTACCATTCGTAACTTTTGAAGGACTTTGCTTCATGCATTATCACTCATGTATCATGTGTATATCTTGTGTTCTGCCAGCCTGTCAAGCCTGATTATGGTTGTTTTTGGTACCTTAAAACATTTTGTTTTAACCTTAAAACATTTTGGTACCTCATTATCACGTGGCTTTTGTTTTTACCTTAAAACATTTTGGGTTGATAGAAACATGTGATGTGACATCACATAAGAGAGTCAATTCAACTAGAAAAAAAAAAAAAAAAATCGTGTGGGAGTGATCATTGGCATTATAGTTGAAACGTCAAATTGGATATTTCAGACAGAAAAAATCTCTCGCAAATTTGTATTGAACAACCCAAAACGTTCAGGTAGAGACAGCAATGGTACCAAACACAACCTGTTCTAATATGAATCAGATTCCTGTATTCCCTTTTATCTTTTTTTTATTGTGGATGACCTCTGTCCTAGTTATTTAGATTCAGAAAATATTTGACATGAAAATACAGATTAACCAACAAAATGAAAAGGTCTACAAGGCTTTTTATGACATTAGCGCAAGCTGGCCATATAGATATATATACATATTTTGTCGACTTTGTGTTATGAACGTGTATCCTTTCATAATGGAATCTGACAAAAACAAAAACAATTCAAGATAACAGGCTACGTACCTTAGAAGGAGCTCCAAGATGCTTATTCAAATCTCTCTGAGGAACTTGACTCTGGCTACTGCTATTTCCTTCATAACCCACCGGACTACTTTGTTCTTTATTGGTTTGTGACAACAATCCCTTACCAGATTCATATAGAACAGCAGTTGCACTACTGTCCAGTTCTGTAATTTTGTTCTTTGATGATTGACTTCTCGTGGAATAAGACATATATTTTTCTGGGGTCATATTGGTTGGGGACTTCAGCTCCTTCTTTGAGAACTGTGTAGCTGCAGCTCGTGCACCAGCTATGGCTGCAGTAAGACTTGGTGGCTTCTCCAAAGATGGTTTAGAGCCAGCGAAACAAGGTGCAAGTGATCCTGGCTTCAGCGAGAAAGGATCACGTGGATCTGGGAGTGGAAACTTTACTGGAAGTGGCCCCTCAACTGGACAAAGACCTCGGACTGCTGCCTCAAAAATCTGATTCAATTTTAAGAGAAATAAGGACAGAGAGAGAAGCAAATGAGTTTTCTCCTGTTTAAAACTATTTTAAAATAATATAAACCAACATTTTGTGGGTACCTTAATTGGAATTCTCCATGTACCTTTTTTTCCAAATTATAAACACCTTGATACCCCCGCATCTCAAATGGAATTACTAATTTCTGCATTTGATTTAAGGAAATAATTCAATCAATAGAACAAAGTAGCCATTCAATCAATAGAATAGAATAGTTATGCAGAAAGATGCATCTTAAGTGATAAAATCTCCAATCTATAGCAACTGCAAAGTTCTGATTGCATGAGTATACCTGTGGCTTCTCACATAGCCAGCAAAAATCTGTTTGTCCTTCTAGCCTTACCTGTAAATAATAGTGCAAGCTATTAATAAGTAGAAAACACTATACTATATTTCACATGCAGCATTTATTTAAACATGGAATACAAAAAGATGGTACAGTTTGGAACCCACCCCTTCAGGTACCTCCTCCCAGCATACCAGTTCTTCACATTTAACACAGCCAACCACATCAACACAACCTGTCACAAGGACCAAAGTTTAGAATATTTAAAGGAATGTGAGATGTTTCTATAGAGAACATATGACCCCAGAATTAATTCGTAAATTTGCAATATACATTAAAAAGTGAAAAAAAAAAATATTGCAAAACACTCCACACACAGTTCAAGCAGTTATTATTTAGTTAGAACATAATGTTAAGGCTTAGTAGCATTCTGACACCGTTGATAAAGAGTTCAAACTTTAGCTTCAGGATCAAAACAATCAAATGACACTTATTTTGGGAGACACAAATTACAAGACTGGAGAAAAGCGATGCCTGCATCATCCTCTCAGAAGTCATAATAAGCATATCATTGTCTATGTTAGAGAGCTTAGGAATACTAGCATAAATATTTTTTTTTTTTTGATAAATGAATACTAGCATAAATATTTCCAAGTTATATTACCTTAGGATATCAGCAGTATAAAAATACCTCCTCTTCAATACATAAACAAAATGCATTGCAACAATATACAATTTCATCCATATTTCTACCTCTAATTTTTTATCATACAAGGCCTCGGCATCAGTTCAGTGAGGACACAATTTCAGTCGATCTATCTTGTCTAGCATATATTTCATTTTTCGAAACCAAGCAAAGAGTCTGAGAATGACATAAAATCATGATAATGTCTATTCTTCCTCTCTCTCTCTCTCTCACACACACAAATAAAAATTAAAGTATAACAAATATAAATACGAAGATATATTTTTTGTTACTTCAAGTACCTAAAAGTCTTGAAACTGGATAGTGTTCTGGAAACTTGAGATCAGTTATTCCATTAACAGCATAAATCTCCCTGTAGAAGTCCTCCATTGCTTTAATTGTATCTGGCTCTGGCACCTTACTTGCAGCATGAATCCAAAGTCGTCCTTCAAAATGACAAGAGATTGTATATTCAGGACCAGCATCAAGGACAATTGTAAACACCAAAAAGGAAGTCTTTCAAGAACAAATTAAAATATGGTAGCATTAAAAAACAATTCCACAAGATTGATCAAAGGGAGAGGGAAAAATGAGGGCTGGAGGATTTTTGTTTGGATTTCCTGTGCTTAGAAGTTTAGAAACTTTAGATGCATTGCCAATAACATTCTATACTTGTTTCTTCCCAAGTATTCATGTTTCACTTTTCCTTGCTATAAAAGGCTCATAAGAGATATGGACAAATTACACCTATTGAACTGCTGATCCATAAACATCTCAGCATGCAAACAGCCATCAGCCAAGGATACCAACTCTAATCACATTCCTTAGTTTACCTTGGACAGTTTATATACCAACTCTAATCACTCTTTCGTCAGTTACACTTTATCCACATAATCTAGTGAACTTGGATAGAATGTATATGAATCAATAATGGTTCATCTGTGAGACTTCCTAGAGTTAAGAATTTTATTCAGTTATTTTCTCACTCTCATTCCACATCCTTTCAAGCTAATACTGAACCCTTCTTTAGTGCTTATTGAGCAACCGCTACATTCCAGGATTAGCATCTTTCCTAATCAAAATCAACTTATGGGAATAAAGACCCACTTCCTCTGACAGCAATAAAATGGAGTTCAGAAAAATCAAGGTACATCGACAAACATGAAACAGAACCACAATGGCAATCAAAATTACCTCTCCAAACCTGGAGATCGTTCTTAATCTTACAATGTGAAACACTATAGTCTCAAATATTATATTAAAATACAAAAGAGATGAATGAAGATATCTACGAATAGGAAAGAACCAAAGACACATAAATATGTAAACACCAACTTGCCCACCTGACTTTCGACTCAAACTCCGCAATCTGAAAATCTATGTCACATAAGCTTAACATTACTCTCTAAAACCCATTTACTCAGAATCCAGAAAATAAAATAAAATAAAATTAGTTGCAGTGAACTAGACATAAAAGCTCAAAGGAAAGATGGAAATAAGGCTTACCAACAGAAAAAAAAAATACAAAAATAAAAAATAAAAAGCAAATCTCAGCCTCCCTACCTGGTCACATTCTAAGACCATAAATGAGGAAGAATAGCCCTACCAAAAAAGAATGAAGAAGAATAATAATAATGAGGAAGCATAACCCAGAAACAAGAAATCGTGACTCGTCCAAAATATCAATTCAATCTTTCAGGCTCTCTAATTAGGCGAAACCAGAAGAACAATACTTCTTGTGATCAAGTTTACCCAACATTCTAAATGTAGTCCATGTCAAAACTTTTCTAACTCAACCAAACTCAAACCAACAATAAGGATTTAATATAGGGTTTTATTTGAATCACTAGCAAGTAATATTAATTACCCCTGATAGGAGCAGGCCATGATCTCCCTTCAATGCGCTTGATGCCGTAGACAAGCAGCGAAGCCCATGGTTGATGCATCGTCAAGCAAGGGTTTCTGTAGTTCCCCTGTGTTCTTCCTCCCATCTCCCGACTTTGTTTGTATGTTCGGTTTGCAGTAACTTACTGGAATTGACAGGGGGAGAGGGTGGCGTTTGGTGTTTGGCAAATTTGACGAAGGCAATGGCAGAATTGATCCTGAGAGGCTGAGAGAGGAAAGGAAAAAATCGACAGAAGTCAAATAGGGAAAGTAACGCACGTTTAATCCGAATTCGAGTCTGACAAAACTTGTGATACCGAAGAAAACACAGAAAAGAAATACTTGAAAGTATTTCCGGTATCACGTCTTTTCGGCATCATAGATTTTTCCAATATAGAAAGAGGAATTGCAAATTTGCAACAAGAAGACTCCAAAGTTTTTTAGGAATTTTTAGGGGAATGTTTGGAATCGTGGCCGTTTTTCAAAAAAATGGTGCCATGTCGGTTCTATATAGGCGTTTCAACAAGTGCTCATATATCTCATTGTTTGGTTCAATCGATTATTAAAAATCGGGTATGCCTCGAAAATCGGGACCCCACTGATGCATGAAACACTAAATTCATGCATCAGTGAACCGTTTCCCCCAACGGTTGACTGATGTGTATCCTAGGTGGTGCTTACCTGTCAGCACATACGTGAAAATCAGTGATGAAAATCACCTTACCAAATAGTATAGTATCGATCACTGCCTACTTGGCAGAAGCGCTCACGCTTCCAAACACCATGTAGATAAACAACCCTTCTAAGGTATAATATATATATATATATATATATATATATATATATATTAAAAACAAAGCGATAAAAAAATTTCTCCTTTTTTGAATTTTTTGTTTTTTATTTTATGTCATTTTTGAAAGGGTTTTTAGTAGATAAGGGCAACTTTTTGCCCTAAATATCAATAAAAAATAATATTTTTATAAAATAACAAAAATAGGATAAATTTTTTGGAAAAATATCTATTAAGGTCAATGAAACTATTCAGTGTCTTCCTCTCTGCCTCTATATTCATGGGAATACAAATTTGAAAAGCTTAGTAGGTTCCTGGTCTGTATTGCTTATATTCTCTTTCTTCTTTAACTTATCTTCTCTCTTGATAAAAACAAGGCCCTGGAAGCTACGACAGAGCAAAGCTGCCAAATCTACCATGTACCTCCAAGTCCAACATCTTTGCACCCTTGTTTGTCCTTGTTGGTATACTGATGGTATAGAAGAGTAGAGTATATGATAGGAAGTAGGAGAGAGAATGCTAGTAGCTTCTGTATTTTTTCTATTTCTCTCATTCACATTTGAAATACAAGAGGTTGTATTTATGGTAGCTAGAGTTGGTGGTTGAAAGGTAAAGCGACTTTACATTTGTGGTTAATATTATTTGCTCTAGATCCTTCTTTTACTGAAGGAATTTTGACCACACTAATTTACTTGCTTCTTAAGTAAAGTATTCTAGAAATGTGTAGCAACTTCTAATACTCCTCCTTGGTGCACATTTCAGTAACTCCAATCATGTCTCGTAACAGTTCGAACTTGCCTTTTAGTAGTACCTTTGAATATGTCTGCTAATTGCTCTTCAGTCTTGCAGTGTTTGAGTTCTATTTCTTTGTTTGCTTCAGCTTCTCTGATGAAGTGATCCTTGATGCCTATATGCTTGGTTCTGCTGTGAAATACAGGATTCTTTGCCATTGCTATAGCTGATCTGCTATCACAGTAGATTTCTGTAGCTTCCCCTTGTGATTCTCCCATGTCTTCAAGTATTCTTTTTAGCCATATAGTTTGGCTTGTTGTCATTGTTGCTGCAATATACTCTGTTTCGGCTGATGATTGCGCAACTGTTGCTTGTTTCTTTGATGCCCAAGAAAATATTCCTAATCCAATTGTGAAAGCATATCCTAGCGTGCTTTTCATGTCGTCTACTGATCCTGCCCAGTCACTATCTATGTAGCCAATTAGTTTTGAGTCATGCGTGACTCCGTACCATATTCCATAGTTCTTTGTTCCTTGCAAGTATCTAAGTATCCTCTTAGCTGCTCCATAGTGAATTTGACTTGGACTCTGCATGAATCTTGATAGCAGACTAACTACATACATGATGTCTAGTCTTGTAGCTATTAAATAGAGTAAGCTTCCAATTAAACTTCGAAATTGTGATTCATTTGCTTTTGGTGAGCCGTCTTCTTTCTTGAATGCTTTATTGTTGTCTAATGGAGTTGATACTATCTTGCAGCCTTCCATTTTGAATTTCTTCAAGAGAGTCTCTGTATACTTCTTTTGTGAGATGAAGATCTCATCTTCTTCTTGAGTTATTTTGATCCTGAGAAAGTAGTGCATTAAACCCAAATCGGTTATCTCGAAAGTCTTCATCATGTCTTCTTTAAATTTCTTGATCATCTTCTCATTATTTCCTGTGCAAATGAGATCATCGACATATAAAGAGACAATAAGTGTGTCATTTGTACCTTGAGTCTTGATGTAGAGTGTTGGCTCACTTTTGCTCCTCCTGAATCCTTGCTCAGTGAAGTAGTTGTCGATTCTACTGTACCAGGTTCGCGGAGCTTGCTTTAGGCCATATAATGCCTTCTTTAATCTGAGAACTTTATCTTCTTGTCCTTGCACCACGAACCCTTGAGGTTGCTCCACATAGATTTCTTCCTTAAGGTAGCCATTAAGGAATGTTGACTTCACATCTAGTTGGAAAATCTTCCATTTCTTCTGTGCAGCTAGTGCAATAAATGCCCTGATTGTGTCAAGGCATGCAACTGGAGAAAATGTCTCATTGTAGTCGACACCATATTGTTGTGAGTATCCTTTGGCAACTAACCTTGCTTTATGCTTCTAGATTGAGTCATCTGAGTTAAGCTTTGTCTTGTAAACCCACTTAACTCCAATAGTGTATTTGTTTTGTGGACGATCTACAAGCTCCCATGTCTCATTTTCTCGATCATCTTTATCTCTTCGTCCATAGCTATTCTCCATACTTCTTTCTTAAAAGCTTCTTAAAAGCTTCTTCAAAGCTTTCTGGCTCCATAAACATCAAGTTGCATGTCTCGTATATCTTTGTTAAGGATTTAGTTCGTCTTGGTGGCGAGTCTGGAGGAGATTCTGAGGCTTGTACTGGATCTAATTGTGTTGCTGGTTGAGTTGGCGATCCAGTTTGATCATAACCTTCTTCAATTTCTTGTCTTGGTAATAAGGGCATGTTGTTACTCTTTCTTTCAACTTCTTCTGTCTCCCAATTGTATGCAACAATTGTATGCAACATCTTCATCGAATCTTATGTCTTGACTGATTATGAGCTTCTTTGTTCTTAAGCTATAGACTTGATAGCCTTTTGATTGAGTGCTATAGCCTAAGAAGATTCCTTTCTCAGTCTTCTCGTCCAGCTTGCCTCTTTTCTCTTGTGGAATGTGAGTGTAGCATATGTAGCCAAAAACTCTGAGATGCTTTGCTAATGGCTTTTGCCCACTCCAAGCTTCGATCGGTATCTTATCTTGCACAGCTTTGGTTGGACATTTGTTGAACAAGTAGACTGCAGTGCTTATTGCCTCTGCCCAAAAAGTTTTTGGAAGACCCTTCTCCATGAGCATGGCTCTTGCTATCTCCATAATTATTCTGTTTTTTCTTTCGGATACTTTATTTTGTTCTGGTGCGAATCCGACTATGAGTTGATGCTCCATGCCTTCATCTTCACAGAACTTGTTGAATTCAATAGAAGTGTATTATTTGCCTCTGTTACTTCTTATCGTCTTGATGTTGTGACCATTTTGCTTCTTGACACGGGTTTTGAATTTCTTAAAAATATCGAAGACTTGCAATTTATCTCGCAAAAAAAACCCATGTCATTCTAGTATAGTCATCGATGAAGAGAATGAAGTACCTGTTCTGATCATTTGATGGAGTACGCATTGGACCGCAAACGTCTGTATGGATTAAATCTAGTGGCTCTTTGGCTCTCCAAGCTTTTCTGGATAGTAAGGGTTGTCGATGTTGTTTCCCGAGCATACACCCTTTGCAGGCATTGTTGAGCTCCTTGATTGCTGGTAGGTCTCGCATCATGTTCTTCTGCTGAAGGATCTTTAACCCATGGAAATTGAAATGTTCGAACCTTCTATGCCATAGCCACGACTCGTCCACTTGCGCTTGCATTGCTACATTGCTTGCATATCTCCATTGTATGGGAAAACATCTGTTTTCTTTCATTTTTATTTTTGCAATTTCAAGGAATTTGTCTTGCTTGTCATAGATTGTGCAAGAATCTCCCTCAAAATGTAAAGATTATCCTTTCTCCATCATTTGACGTACACTAAGTAGGTTTTGATCAATGTTGGGGACCAAGAGTACATCATTGATGTATTTCTTGCATTGTCTGGTGTCAATGACAATGGTGCCTTTTCCCGTTGCTTCCATGAAGTCGCCATTACCAATTTTGACTTTGTCTTGACTTTATCAAGACTATAAAAGATGCTTTCATTTTTTGTCATGTGGTTACTACACCCATTGTCTAGATACCAAGTATCCTTCTTTTCTTCTAATGCAGCTTGGTAGACGTAGAAGAGATTATTCTCATCATTTTTCTCTTCTGAAAAGTTAGCTTGATGGAATTTCTTCAAACGACAAGTTTTTTCAACGTGCCCGAACTTTTTACAACTTTGGCACTGGGGTTTTCCTTTAAACCAACAATCTTTCTCCACGTGGTTTTTTCTTTTACAAATACCACATGGAGAATACTTGTCATTATTTTCTTTTTGTTTTCCTTGTGACTTTCTCCCATCAGCTTTTGATTTATGAGACCGCGAATTAATTTTAGACTGAAAGGCATTTTCAGTCGAATTTTCGTTCTGCCTATCTCGCCTATTTTCATGTGCTTCGAGAGAGCCCATTAATTCAGTTGGTGATAAAGTTTCTAAATCCTTTGTTTCTTCTATCACATAAATTCTTGCATCATATTTTTCTATACAAGAAATTAGTATTTTTTCGACTATTTTCTTGTCAGAAATAATTTCCCCATAGGCTCTCATTTGTTTTACTATTTATTTTATTCTAGAGTAGTAATCTTTTGCGGTCTCATTATCCTTCATCTTAAGATTTTCAAAATCTCTTCTAAGCTTCTACAGTTTAACAGTGCGTACCTTGATAGTTCCTTGGAACTCCTCCTGCAATGTGACCCATGCTTCTTTTGCAGTTGACGTGCCCATAATTCATGGAAATATATCGTCTGCCATTGCTTGCTACAAGCAAAATAACGCTTGAGAATCTTTTTATTG